AACCACTCAGCAGACAGACCTCATTTCATGAGAATCCCACAGCCACCCAGAGGGAGGACCATTATCATGGCCCTCTCTCAGGAGAGGGAACAGGCTCCCAGAGATGAAGTGACTTGTCCAAGGTCCCACAGACCATCGGCTTCCAGCATCCGTGCTCTCAGCACCACCCTGTCCTATGGTCCACCTGTCCCACTTGGCCCAGGGGAGCAGTATTGGGTCCTTACCCAGGGGGTCATCAAGCGTTGTGATGCCTGCCAGCCCCACCGTCCGTGGGACGCTGCTGTCCACGGCAGGCACCTGTACGGGCTTCTCAGACTCTTCCTGCTGCTGCTTCAGAATGTATTTCTGGCAGTCCTCCTCTGGGGGGCAGAGACAGGGCATGTAGGCTCCCCAGGGCTTCCCCGACCCTCTCCCCACAGGCAGGACACAGCCCCCTCTCACTCCCGGTCCTGCCTCCCCAGCTCACAGGCACCATCCTTGGCTCTGCAGCTCTGAGAGGCTGAGCCCACCCCTGGCTCTGACCTTCCCAACAAGGTGTTTTTAGTGGGAAGACATCCACTGGCTATCTGGAAAACCACCAAGGTCAGGGCCTGGGTCTCTTCTGTCCCCTTGTGTCCAGCTTAGTGAGGGGAGCAAGGCTCCAGAGCTCGGTGTACCTGCCTGTGGGCCCTGCACCCTCACCTAATCAGTGAGCGGCAGGAGGTGGGGGCTGCATTTCCCTGGGACACGAGGCTTCCAAGACAGTCAGCGACCAGTCCCTCACCTGCTCTATTGTCCTACGTTCACCTTCCTAGACCCCTGATTCTGACTCCTGGCCCTATCTAAAGGCCTCTGCCTAAACTATAACCTTCCTCTCGCCGCCTCTCCTGGCCTTCGCCGCCTCTCTCCAGTCCCCATCGCGTCCGGATATTGAGAAAGGGAACTGGCCCGCACAGTTCCTCTTTGCAGGCTGCCTCCAGCACCCCCAGCCAGGACACGAGGCCTCTCCAGGTGGGGCCCCCTGGGCGCCGAGCCAGGAACGGCGGCGCGTCCTCACCGATGCTGGGCCCCAGCTCTTCCAAGGCGTCGTGGCGGCCAAGTTTGGCAAGCAGCTCCAGCAGGCGGCCCACGGAGGCGTCGGGGCGGCCCTCCCAGGCGTCCAGCAGGCGGCCAGTGGGGTTGGGGTACGCCTCCAGGTGCCGGATCTCCAGGTACTCGAAGCCCAGCTCCTCGGCCAGCGTGGTCCAGTCGGCCGCCACCAGCGACTGCACGTTGAGGAACAGCGACAGGCGGCGCCGCACTCGCATGTTGAGCGCAGCCAGGGGCACCCAGGGAGTGGAGGACGCGGAAGGCGCGGAGGCCGCGGGGGACGCGGAAGGCGCGGAGGGCGCGGAGCCCGCGGAGGGCGCGGAGCCCGCGCGAGCTGCTCCCGCATCCATGGCGGGTCTGCCTGGAGCCTCGGCGCGGCTGGGTCGGCGGCGGCCACTGCTTCCTCCTTCCTGCCGCCCCGCCCCGCCCCGCCCCCGGTTCTGCTTTCCCAGAAGGGCCGCCAGCCCCGCCAGCGGGGGCCCCAAGCAGATGCGCGAAGGTGGGCGCGTCCCAGCTCTGCGCTCGGGGTCTGGCGGTGCAGATGTGGGAGGGCGGAGCCTGCTGCTGGGGATCTGGGAAGGATCTGGGAATTTCGACTGCCCTGCCCTCCAGGCGGAGCCCTGGTGGCGCAGTGATTGAGATCGGCTGCTAGCCAAAAGGTCGGCAGTTTGAATCCCCCAGCCGCTCCTTGGAAACCCTATGGGCAGTTCTACTGTGTCCTATAGGGTCGCTATGAGTCGGAATCGACTCGATGGCAAGAGTGTTTATTTTTATTTTTAGTCCTCGAGGGGCTGGGGGGAACGACCTTCCTTGGGGGTTGGAGCGACAGGGGCCTTGCCCTTGGGATCTGGTGTGGCCACACTCGGAGGGGTTCATACTGGATGGCTGGGAGCACTGGCTCTGCCCGCCCCGAGTCACTGGGGATTCACATTCCTGACGGTGGGAGTAGCGGGAGGGACCCTCTGGGGTCTGAGGCCGGAGAGGCTCTCCTGGAAAGGAGAAGGGTCACGGCCCTACCCTGTGGGGCTGGGGCCACAGAGCGCCCTAGCCTTCGGTGTCTGTGGCGAACCCAGTACTGCTCTCCGGGGTCTCAGGGAAACGCATGGCCCTGCCCTTGGGCGCCGGGGACGCAGCTTGCCTTGTCCTTTAGGGTTAGGGGAGGCGTAGTTCTGAGCTGGGGAGCCCTGGTCCTTTCCTTCTTCAACACATGTTTATTGATCACCTACTAAGTGTCAGGCGTGTTGCAGGCTCGGGGATACCGGGTCCTGCTCTGGCCTGGTGCAGGTCAGCCTAGCCGGGAAAGCTGGCATTCACCTAGTCATCCCAAGTGCCTGGTGCTCCTTCTTCAGTTAGGAATCGCAAATTCCCTCGGTTTTCTCGAAACACTTCCCACGCAAGCCCGACCGACCACTTTGGGGTATGGCTCTGGGGCTGGTCCTCCAACGTGGGTGCTGGGCCCCGGGAACGGGAGAGCGGAGGGGAAAGCTGAAGAGGAATAGAAGTCCCGGGCGACCCCTCACCACAGCGAGCAGCCGTGGGCTGGCTCTCGGCCGCCGCGCCCCCTGCTTGGCAGCGGCAGACGGTGGACCGGGCTTTCGGGAAATGGGCTGAAACCGTTTCAAGACACCAGAAAGGCTTCTTGGGGTACCGCCTCCGGGGTGGCAGTAGGCGGGGCTTCAAGTGGAAAAGCTTCCGGTCTGCCTGTGTGGGCGGAGCTTCAGAGGAGTCCACCTCCTGATTGGAGCAGTAGGGTACAGTAGGCGGGGCTTTGGATGGAACGATCTGGGCTGGGACCGGGCCCCGCTTTGGACGGCTGGGTCGGAGGTGGAGTCGTCTCCTGGTTGGTTACGGCGGAGGTGGGCAGGGCTCTGGGAGAAAGGTCGCGGCCGTGGCCCTATTTAGCGGCGGACCCAAGGCGCAGCTCCGCGCCTGCGCACCTTGGCTCAGTCGGTTCCAACGTTGTTTTCCGCGCGCGGTGCTGGTGTGCGGCGTCGAGCGGCGCGATGCAGAGGCTGGGGGTGGTGCTGGGCCACCTGAAGGGCCGGCCCGATACGGACTCGGGGCCTGCGCTGCAGGCCGCGCGGTGCCTGAGCGGCGCCCCGCGGGCCTCGGCTGCGGACGTGGTGGTGGTGCACGGGCGGCGCACAGCCATCGGCCGAGGGGGCCGCGGCGGCTTCAAGGTGCGCGCTGGGCCCGGGGCAGCTGTGGAGCTGGCCGGGCGGGGCTGGGGAGGGGGCCGGGACCCGTGTCCCGCGCGCCGGGGATCACCGCACCGCGCTTCCGCTGCAGGACACCACCCCGGACGAGCTCCTGTCGGCCGTCTTGACCGCGGTTCTCCAGGACGTCAATCTGAGCCCGGCGGAGCTGGGGGATATCTGCGTGGGTGAGTGCACCCCCGGCCATGGGCTCAACCCGCCCCCTTCCCGTTTTCCAAAGCCCCCCAACACACCACCCCACCCCTGCTCTCACTGCGGGTAGTGTGGGTGGATGTGCCTGGTCTAATTTAATGCCCTCGTTAGGGCCACACTCCACCCGCTTCAGGCACCTTCTGTCTGTTAAGTATGATATAAAGTGGGAATCCTAAGTGACAGACATTCATTTGCCAGGGTTGTGAGGACACCCTAGGAGACAGGAGACCAGGGCCATCTTCCCACCCCGACACACTGTGTGTGCCTCGACAGACAGAGGAAGCGTCAAAAACCATCTGTCGCCCAGAGATACTCTGAAAAGGTCACTTTTCAGTCAAATGACAGATTAGCCCATAGAATAAATAATATCACCCATGAGTACTGTGCTACTTAAAATAATCATCTAGACGAAACTAAATGGTTAACGTTTACCCTAGACCAAAGATGAGAAGGCTAGGGGGATAGGGAAGCTAGATGAATGGAAACAGAACAACCAAAATGGAAATAAGGAGAATGCTGATAAATTGTGAAGTTTGTAACCAACATTACTGAACAATATGTATAGAAATTGTTAAATGAGAACCTAATTTCCTGTGTAAACTTTAACCAGAAACACAATTATTTAAAAAAAAAAAAACAAACATCTAGTCCAACGCCTCTTTTACAGATGGAGAAACTGAGGCCCAGGAAATTTGCAGCAGAGCTAGGATCTGAACTCAGGGCCCTCTGACCTTCAGTCCAACTTTCTTTCCATCTCTGGCCTCAAAATTTAACAATATGTGGCTAGAGTCTCATCAAACAAGTGCCACCCCTAAGTCGAGAAGCGCTGTCACAGGAGTGACAGCAGGGCTTGGAGGTGGTTTATTCAGAAACTCGTTTCCCTGACAGGACCAATTCTGTTATGCTTCAAGCTTTGCATTTTTCTTTCCTTAAAGTCTTGCATGTAAGCTTTAAAGGCAGGCACCCTGTCCAGTCTGCACTGGTCTGGAGAAGCAGAGTGGGTGAGTGTGTGGGCTTGGGACTCTATTCAGGGCCAGGGGCTGGTGTATGACCAGGCAGGAGAAGCTGCTGAATGCCTAGCTCCCCCTGCTCCAGACCCTGAAATTCCAGAGCCCCAAGTGAGCCTTCCGAGGGCCTGTGTTCCCGAAGAAGGAGCTGAATTGTCCCTCCGTGGTATTCACAACAGCGCCTTAGTGCCCAGAACGCCGCCTGGCACTGAACAGAGGTTTGTTGTCCACAGGAAATGTGCTTCAGCCAGGGGCCGGGGCACTCATGGCTCGAATCGCCCAGTTTCTGAGGTAAACTTTACTAGTTCTAGCTCTGGGCTGCTCATTTCGACTCTTGAGTGGGACCAGACTCCAGAGAGCTCAGCTTGTGGGTGGGGAGGATCAGGTTGGACAGCAAACCGTGAGGCATCCAGAGTCCTCAGCACCCTCTCTCCTGGACTCAACCTTCCCCCTACTTTGAAGGGACGGTGTGTTACAGGCGCTGAGCCAGAGCACCTGGAGGTTTTGGGACTGGAGCAAAAGCCTTCTGTGACCCCAATTTTTAGCCACAGTAAGCCTGTCGATCTGCCTTTTGTGACTGGACTCTGTTCTCTTGTCATGTAAATAACTAGGATGGCACGGTGAGGAGTGACTTAAGAGCTTTTCTGCTAATTGCACAGGCTGTGATGTCTAGGCACATCCCATCAGCAGGGACTGGGGCACAGGGCAGAGCCCCCCGGGAAGAGGGCAGCCCAGGAAGGCTCCTGGTGGCCTTGCCCTTAAATAGCAATGGCCCGGGCAGGAGTGGGGGCTTAAGTTACTTTCATGTGGAGATTTAAGAACCACTTAGCCTTCTACTTCCAGCTTCCTGGGGGAGAACGCTGGCTAGTGACGGGGACAGAAAAACAAACCAAAAACCCTCGAGAGGCCGTGAGAGAGTTAAGACCGCAGAGACGGGAGTTCAAGGCCCCCATGTTCTGGCTCCAGACTCACTTCCTGGCCTCGTCCCCCAGCTGCTCACTAGCCCTGACTTCCTCCTTCAGCCAGCCCGTCCGCCTGCTGCTCTCCCCGCTCTGATCATTCTGTCCCCCTGGAGTGTCCCCACCTCCTCTCTGCCCTTACTAACCCTGTCCAAACACAGTCTCGCCACCATTTTGGCATGACTTCTCTGAGCCCCCAAGCTTCAGAGGTGAGCCCCTTCCTCCCCAGTAGCTGCCGTGTGCCTCCTTGTGATGGGCTTATCATCTCGCTTTGTTATTCCAGACCTGCTCGTTGACCCATTTTCTGTGTGCTGCTCAGGCCTCCTTCAGGCAGGGACAGTGCTCTCCGTATCTTGGCATCCCTGGGCGGAGATGTCCAGTGAACACCTGGGTGGATTGGGTGAAGGGGTGGTAACTAGGTGGTAGGAGTTAGGAGACTTGGGGATGGTTAGACAGGCTGCACAGGCCCAGGATGAGGTCTCTGCAGAGCCTGGCCAGGCCACTAGCTCAAGGGGTCCCAACCTTGACTGCACAACAGAATCACCATGGCGCTTCCACCCCGAGGTTCTGAGTCCAAGGGCCTAGGGAGGGCCCTGACCATGTGGGTTCCCCCAGAGCTCTCCAGGGCTTTGTAGTACTGGCCAGGGCAGGTTACGTGGGGAGGGGCAGCTCCCAGGGCTGGGACCAGCGTGAGAGGCTGGGGGAATGCACCCAGGGCAAGGGATGTTAAAATACATGGAACCTGTCCACCAGGGTGAGGGATGTTAGAACACACGGAGCCCGTCCACCAGGTCAAGGGATGTTAGAACACATGGAGCCCATGAGCGCTCTTGTGCGGGTGGGAACAGGCTTCCAGGGAGAACTGGAACGTAACCCTTCAGCCACGTGCTCAGCAGTAAAGCTGAGGAGTGGGGGTGGTTTCTGGCCTCAAAGCTTTAGACTCTTCTTTTCTGTCCCAGCAACAGGCCCTCTTCTCTATACTTCCAGAGGAACAGAAATGTGTGGTTTTTATTCTTGAATCTCCACAAAGGGAGAGAAAAAAGGATCCCTATGGCTCACACGGAGCCCTGGTGGTGCAGTGGTTAAGAGCTTGACTGCTAACCAAAAGGTCGGCAGTTCAAATCCACCAGCTGCTCCTTGGAACCCTAGGGGGCAGTTCTGCTCCGCCCTGTAGGGTCGCTATGAGTCTGAATCGACTCAAAGCCAACACATTTGGGTTTTTTGTTTTTTTTTTTTTTCTCTTTTGGTTTATGGCCCAGCCTTCCTTGCCCTTGGGCTATGCATGGCCTTTGAGGGGACCCACAGGATGGAATGGGCTTTAGGCCCTGGGGAGCACGTGCCTGCAGAAGCAGCATCTGCCCCTGGCTGCCCACTTCCCACTCTACGGATCTAGCGCGGAGCAGGGTAGGGCTGCTGGGCTTGTGGGCCCGGTCTGTGCAGCTCCTGGTGGGGGCAGTCGTGTTGGCCAGGAGCTCGAGAGCCTGGCAGGGGAGAGGGGGCCGACTCACTCTGCGCTCTCCCCTTCTGCTTTCAGTGATATCCCAGAGACTGTGCCTTTGTCCACCGTCAACAGGCAGTGTTCGTCCGGCCTGCAGGCAGTGGCCAACATAGCTGGTAAGTTGTGGCCAGTGGGTGTCCCCTGCGTGGCCGGCCCTGGTCCTGGCCCCCTGGGTCTAGGTCAGCAGAGTTGTTCTCTGCTGGGGGAGCAGTAGGACTTCTGAGAGGACTCTAACCACAGAAGGAGCACCCGTTGTCACTGCCCCCAACCTTTCCTGGACACTGTGGGGTCTTCCATCTCTGAGGCCAGGTGGGGAGGAGGCTCCGCTGGTCCCGACCTGATGGACTGTGGCGAAGGATGTTTATGAAATCCTTTTGTTGCAGGTGGCATCAGAAATGGGTCTTATGACATTGGCATGGCCTGTGGGTAAGAATTTCTTTCTGCCGGAGCTTATTAACCAATTTGTGACGATAAGGCTAATTTTCATCTCCTGAGCTCTCAGAGGCCGTGATTTCAGGCTTCTCCCCTTGCCCCTTTAGGCAGATGGCTGGGAGTGAGTGTCCACAGCTGCAGCTTAGAATGGCCCCCAGCTCTTAGAATGGCCCCGGAACTGCTCACAGCTCTCTACAGTGGTGGGGAAGGCAGACTGGCTTTGAAGAGCTTCCTTCTTGAAAATCTGTCAGGCCGGAAAATGTGGGCACACACTTCGAGAAACTACACCACTTGGTTTCCTTCTGTGGCCCTTGTTGGTTCGTGATGCTGCAGAGAGAGGCTGCAGTCTGGGTCCCCAAAGCCAGGGGCAGCCACCTGCTGTGTCATTTGTTCATTTTCTTGGGCTGTGGTATGGAGGTGGAAACTTCCAGCTGCCTCCTGGGTTCTGAGGGACGTGGTCGGATCTCCGTTGGCTAGGTTACTGTCACCTCTGCCCAGGCTGCAGCGTGTGAAGCCGCAGGGGTTGTACTGGGCAGTGCCTCTGGGGCAGGGAGAAATCTGGGCCTAGACTAGAGTGGGCACCTTCTGAGGGGAGGTGAGCGGCCCTGTGCAGAAAGGTTCCTCTTCAGACTGTTGATTGGAGGCGTTGTTGGCCCCTGTCTCAGGGTGGTGCTGGCTGGTACTGGGAGGTGCTGCCCTTATGTCTGCAGTTGAAAATAAAGCCCAGACCACACTGTGGGGACTTTGGCCAGGCAAGGGCCATTGCTCAATCTGCCCTTTGATTTCTCCCATGTCCCTCAGTCTTACTGGGGGTTGTGGGTAACTTGAGGAAAAAGACTGGAGCCTTCATGAGTTCTTTTCTTAAAGAGAATCTGAGTCCCCACACGGGTTCTGGACCTGTCACTAGGGTACTCAGGGTCTGGGCCAGGACACCCATAACACAGGCTGACTGTTCACCACAGACTTGGACAGGGAAGCAGTGTAGCCCAGGGCGTCCTAGTTGGGATGGAGTCTGGGGCCAGACTGCCTACATTTGGGTACTGGCTGGGTGACTGTGGACAAGCTACTCAGCGTCTCTGGGTGTCAGTGTCCGTCTGTAACACAGGGCCACCTTCCCCAGCCCTGCTGAGGTAGCTAACTCTTTTGGGGCGTGTATTACATGATTGATGCTGTTCGAAGCCTCTGATACGTGAAAAGAGGTGTGAAAAGCACTCAGTCAAGGTTTTCTGCTGTCCTTTGAGGCCTTGCGGTCCCTGACCTCCTTGAGGCCCTTTCTGACCACACTGAACTGAGGTCTCGTCTTCCTCTCAACCCCTAGGGCTTTCTTGTCTCTGCGGGTCAGGCAGCTCTTTGATCTGTAGCTTTATGCTTGCTCTTTAAATATCTGTCTCTTCCCCACTCTGAACTGGAGGCCTCTGAGGACAAGGCCTGGGCTTTCTGGATTTCTGGTGGACAACACTAGAAGGCTTTCCTTGGGAACTCCTGACTGGCTGCAGCAGTGTTTGTCTTAGGAAAGCAGGGCCCTGCCCCCAGGGAGTACCGACGGTACAGTGCCCTGTCCTGGGGTTGGGGGGTAGGTAGAAATGAGGCTTAGCAGCCCTGTACCACCAGCTCTACCGTGCTGGCCAGCTGCCCTCCCGTGGCTCCCAGGTGGCCCGCTGGATTTCCCGAGGGCATCCTGGCTGTTTGCCAGCACTTGGCAGATACACAGCTGTCCCTGGGGGAGCCCTGCTGGCACTCATCTCCTCCCCACCTCAGGGTGGAGTCCATGTCCCTGGCTGACCGAGGGAACCCTGGAAATATCACTTCGCGCTTGGTGGAGCAGAAGAAAGCCAGAGACTGCCTGATTCCTATGGGGTGAGTGCCCCCTCAGCTCCCGCCTGGGCAGAGACTGCCTGATTCCTCTGGGGTGAGTGCCCCCTCAGCTC